TATTATTAGATATTAATAGAGCTGGAAGAGAAATACTTGATAGAATCCCTGCTGCAGAAGGCAACATTTTTGTTCTTCTTGTTGTTTTGCCACCCTAGAAGTTTCCTCAGAGCAGGCAACACTTGTCCTGGAAGGAGAGTAAAAAATACCAGTGCCAGATTTCTTTTCTGAAGCCTTTTTAATTGCATGAATTGGGGTTAGACACACAGAATCTGGGCAGTGGTTCTGACTTAGTCATCCCCCAAAAAAACTGAATATTACATTGAACTCCCAGTTACAATGATGATTACTGCATTGTTGGAAGAAATGTTGGACCCTTGTTGGAAGGTTAAAGATAGATTGCCATGGAGAAAATCTATTTATGTGATTGCCAACAACTTAGTGGTACATAATCTGTCATAATCAATTATTTAAAATGGCAGCAATTTCATGCTTGGCTAATTGACATTGTTTCAGAAAAGATCTGAGTGAGTGGAAGAGCAAGGCATAGTATTGCCACATTTTGCTACTGCATTTGAAAATACAGGATACAGTTATTCCATTAGCTAAAAGGNTATCAAAGAGAATTGTTACTGAAGAATGAAGGAGACTAGGAACTTTTTCTTGTCTTCTGCCCAAAAATACCAAAGAAACCCAACACCCCTATAATTATCTCTTAATTTGTTTTCTGAGGTTAGCTGAATAGATCCAGGATGGACAGGGGTTTTGATTTGAACATTTTTCAAATCCCCCATTCTTCGAAGTCATGGCCTAGACTTGATTTACTGCTTTATTTAAGAAGCAGCTCTCACCATGCTTCTTTACTAGAAAGATGTCTGACTCCAACTCTTGTATGACATTCCTGTTTGTTGAAGAAACCTTGAACTTCTGGGCTGGCTGACAATTCTGGCTTTCAGAAACCAGGATTAACTTTGGACAATTCGTCTACATGCTCTATTTCAAAGCACACTCTGCAGAAAAGCGTCTGCTTTTGTTTACATTTTTTGTTCCTTGTTAACTCTTCAGCCTTGAAGTAAAACTGATAATCTTCAAAGCAACTGTATTTGAATGTGTGTGATGGAAGCCTGAAGCAGGATACTCAATTGTCATCCCTCTACTTTCTTTCCATTTTGACTGAATGCTCTGGGGGAAAAAAGAAAACCCATAATCCTAAGGATGGAGCATGTCAGTTTTGTGTTCTTTTTTCTCCCTATCTCCCTAACATATAAGTATGCCAAAGTAAATTCTTACCCATTCCCAGCAGGGACCAAATAAGCAAATGTTACGAAAGTGGGATGCTTGTGTTCAGAGAGCACAAAAGAGAACTCCCTGGCACCAAGGACAAAAACTCTCTAATTCTTGTAGAGAAGCCCATATGGTGAAATGTATTATTTTAGAAAACACTGTGTGAAAAGAAGCTTCCCCCCCCCTGCATAAACATTTTTTATTTAAAAATAAAAAGAAGGAATCCCCAATCTTTATCTTACACTTAGAGCCAGTCACTCTTTCTTTGCCTTAGGAAGGAGGAACTTGCAAACAACCTCCAAAACTTTTGCCAGGAAAATTACAAAGACATTTCAAGAAGTCAAAAGGGCATACATTTCCTTATACATGAATGCATGCATACATGCACACATACTGTCCATCTCAGTCCAATTTCCAACCACATTTATGTCTACCTGTATGCATCTATATTTCTATTCATACACACCTAAAGAAATACTGTTAATGTATTATGTATAATGTGTTATATTAATGTATTATGTGTTAATGTAACACATAATAATTCAAAAACGTTGCCTTGATTAGTTCCTAGAATCTTCTGCAAGAGTAATAGTCTTTGTAGGATTTGAAATAAAAACAGCTGGGTTACATTGTCACAATTTTTGTGATTTTTTTTACAAAGTAGGTAGAAGCCTTGCTGCCTTTCGGCAATGCATATAAACACAATGTTCCCTCAATAAATATAGCACAACTCAGGAAAACTGATCGGAGGATATGATTTTAGTAAAACAGAATAAGACTCATGTTGCATTCATGAAGTCTGTCAAGAACCGCACAGTCATGAAAAATGAACACAGGAAACATTTTATAAAGCAAGGTCATTTCAGCTGTCAAACTCAGGATGTCAACTAGTCCAAAATTTGAAATGGAAAGTCTAACTTGCTCATGCTTGACCTGTCTAAGTCTTAATCAGTTTGGTCCTGGGCTGTCAAACTGCTGCCCATGGAGTATCACTGCATCTCCTTCTTTTCTTTCCCTGATAGCACAATAACCAGTAGACAAGGTTTGTAACTCAGTTGCTTCTGAAAATATTGAAATGACTGAAAAATTCTCTGTGGTTGGCAGTCATATCACTTTCCTGGCTTCCTCGGTTCTTACTAGGAATATCAGTCCTAGGAATTATGTAATTCAGGGCTTGTTATGTAGAGTAACATCCCAGAAACAAAGGATCCTTGAATATTTATGCCTTACATTACTTATATGTGTAATAATCAATATCAATACATGGAATTATGCAAGCTAACCAACAGGAAATCAATATAGATTTTTAAGAACAGGCACTCTATCATCCGTTTCCTTGGATCATTTTGCATGCTAACTACTGTATTTTGCATCAATTTAAAATATGCTAGCCCCAAGTTCAAAGCATTATACTAAGCAAAACAGGCTGTAACATCAGATATAAATGTATTAAAATATGCCTGACCATAGCTGCCATCTACAAATCCAGTAACTAGTAAGGTTGAAGCAACCAGACTAATCTTTCAAGCAGAAGACAGCCTAAGATGAACTGAAATTCTGAATTTTAATTTCCTATTTACTAATAGTACCACTATCTTACTTGCATTTTATTTTACCTTGTTTTATCTTTTTTTCCAATACTGTTATTAAACTGATCACTTCCTTACAATTGGTTGGTGAAGAGCAATAGAACTAGAAATAATTAGAATACTAATGATTCCCCATTCCAAAGCCTGATATGATAGACAAGAAATATTCAATGAGACATCAAAGATTAGCAGCCTAGATGAATTAGAGGCACTCCAGTAAAATTATCTGGATATAGCCTGGCAAAAAGAACTAAAACCACTTTAAAATAATGAGCCAAGTTTTAATTTTGCCAAGCAGTCAACATTGGCAATGTTGTAAGATTTAGAAAAATCAGTTTGTCCCATCCAATATCTCTGATATGCTACCCANCCCCCCCCCCAAATTTAAATAATTTCATAGTTATATCTAATGTTTATGTAAAAGAAGTGGGAAAAGTATAATGGACAGATGGTTATGTTGACTATAAGAAATTTTTATACAGCACTGGACATTTTTAGCATATGAATTGCTTTGCAAGGTTTTATCTCACAAGTCATAAAGGACATTGCATTTAGGGCTCTTCACTAAACATTGCCAAACAAGCAATTACTAGAGTCCGTTGCTAATTTTTCCCAAAGTTGCCACCATCCAGATGTCTGACTTTCATATTTCCTTTAGAAAATTATAGGAAGAGACAGTTTCATCCTTTACATTTTAATGTGCCATTATGATAAACCAGTAGATAGAAGAAAAAACTGGAATGGCTTACCTTCTATCACAAATTAACAAAACATTCAAAGCAAAATAAATATAAAACTAATTTGGAATCCTTCTACAGATATGGAAAGTAAATTAAAACAGTTAAGGGGAAATTAAATTTTTGAGCAATAGTGCAAAACTCTTAAGGGATGCTTCATTTAATGAAAATTTGTGCATAGTACCTCTTGATAGCTGCTGTATAAAGCAATATGATTCCCTGGCCAGTTTTTAAAACAAAGTGAAGTTAACACTTTTCTTCACCTTGTGTCACTCTGAGCCTGTCATCCAGTTTTTCTAGCAGCTAGGAGAACTGGTCAGATGTAAAGTACTTTGTTGAAGAGAATTGTATCACATCCTTGACTGAACAAGAGGAACTGCACTGCAGTTGTGTCCTCCAGGTCCTTGTTTTGGTAAAACTCAGCTGCTTAGTACAGGTCTAGAGATCTAGGTCCCAAAGAATTAACCAGACTCACATGATGGCTCCTCTCAAACCATGAAAGGCTGGACTAACTTGACTAAAGTTTAACTTTGTGGAATTTTCTGAATAGTTCAGTTAGCAGGTTTCAGAAATGAAAATCAGAATGAAGTGTCAAGTAAAAGATAGGAACTAAAATGAGGGGATGTTGCTTTTAAAATTAAACAAGGAATATTTTTGTTTTTTGCAGAATAGTTAGAAGAAAATGAAACATGAATAACTTCTGAATTTGTACATACGTACAGTAATGAACTATTTGAATTTGTTCACAGAAATAGATAAGAATCTAAAATATTTAGACAGTGAATACACAATTTAAAACAGTCAAATGTGAGAGGAGGCAAAAGTCAATAAATTTCACTGGCTTTGAAAGTGAGTCTCACATATTTAGTATGAAAATATCATACTAAGGAAGTTTGAATAGAGATCAGTAAAATAAAATGAATTTCTTAATTCTCTTGCTGTCAAAACATCCAAAACTTTCATTACATTTTTCTTTTCTTGAAAATCTATCATACTTAAAAAAATGTTTTATAATTTCATAGGCAGTTTGATTTACTCTGCAATGTAATTTTATAATTACGTAATCCTAACCTTCCTCTAATTTAAGGCATTTATATATACAAGCAAAACAAAAATTTAATCAATGTTTTGTGTTTGTGTGTTTGTGTGTGATTACTTTTGATTGCCCTCTGCCTTCTTTCTGAGTCAGAAATAGTAAACCTAACATAATTTAATCTGTTTCACTTCTACAAAGCATACAATTTGTCATATAGCATATCAGTTTTGGAGTGGAGGTAAATGTTATCCAATTTATAATTTAATCTCATTTAATAGTTAGCCATTAACCTGGTACTGGGCACATTTATATGTTTTCAACCACAATTTAATTTAAGTGATTGAGGGTAATGTCTGAATATCTTGCACAAATCCCATTTTGTTCACAGGCCATTGAATCAAAAGGGTGGGAATATCAATCTTGCTGTAGCTTTACTTGTATAACCACATCACTTGTATCCTTGTAGTGAAAAGCTATTGGGTGAAGAGATTGGTCATTTAGACATAGACAATGTTTAAAACATCAACCTTTTTTAAAAGAAGAAGAAGAAAAATCATGAGATTGTGGCAACCTTTATTCCTGGATTCTTTTTCAAGGCTCTTGAGTTGTGGGGAAAAAATAAGTTACAGATTTTATAAATTATGGTGCTTAGGTGAGTGAAGCATGTACTAGTCAATATATAAAGATGAGTCTGGCTTGGATTCATGAATAGGTAAATTTGAACCAATTGCTAGTTCAGTTTAATCTATCTCAGAAATTTGTTTTAAATAGAAAAAACAATATGCTATTCTGAGTCCTTGAATTGCAACAGAAATCTAAAAAGAATATGGCATTATTTTGGTTTTAAAACAAAATTAGTTTGTTCTAAATTCCTTTGAAAACACCATTAAAGGCTTTGAAGTTCTTTATAGTCAAAAACCTTACGGAATACAACTGGAAGAAAGCCAAAATGCACATTTATAAAGTGGTGATGAAGCTTTCAAATCCTCTTCAGAGACTGAAATGAACCAAAATAGAAGTGATCTAAATAATTAAAATATTAATAGTTTACTAGGATGCAACTCTCTTAAAATAATTGAGACTGAAGAATATGGAGAACTCTAAGGAATTGTAGTTCAGTGACTAAAATGTTTTCTAAATCAATCTTCATTTGGTAAATTTTCAGGCATACTCTGCACTGAACTAAGTAAATTACTTGTATGAGATTTGTTTCAGGACTGCGAACAAAATTAGAAACCTAAAAATTAAATTTTTATAGCTTGCCCTTTTCTATCTCTTTCCTTTCCCTAATAAAGACAGGATCTGAAAATGGTAATGGAGGCTACTCCCTTAAAAATAAATGTTGAAACCTCATAGAATAATGACTATTCCATTCAACATGTTGACTCCAAAAGTAAAAATATCAAGCATGATGTGTTTTAGTATGCCCATGTTTATTAAATAAGGCCAAGGAAAATCAGTGCAGCACACTTACAACTATGAATCTTATTTCATCATCTATTGATTGCAGGAAAGTTTCACGTTCTGTCATTCACCTCCCATGCCCCAATTTTATGTTCCAAGTTCTTTTACAAGGCAAGCCTTTCCAGATTTAAGATTTATAGTTGTTTTGGTATGCCACTTTTTTCTCCACGTCAAGAAAATAAATGTGCATTCAGGTGGAAAGAAGAATTAAAAGACAACCAAAAATAAATCTATTTGGTTTAGACAAGGTCACTGGTTTTAGAAGGATCAAGAAGTAACAATGGAATCCAGTTCTTTCAAAATGAGATCATTTATTTTCAAACAAAATTACCAATCCCTCCAAAATCTTACAATAAGGCGGATTGTTAGACGTTTTCCTCTCTTCCTCTTTCAGTTTCCTTTTTCTGTTCTTGTATTTTATAAGTCCCAGGATTGCCTGTTTTTAAGTTTTAGAGATGTTTGTATCTTAATTATTTCTGTTTCTAAGGTCTCAATCAGAGCAAATGCAACTAAGAAGCAATTCTACAATTCCGCAGAGTAAATAACAACCTTGACCATGACTGTTCTATAATATGAGTAGTCATATAACAAGCTGGAAGGTCCCCTCTTGCTGTGGTCATTTATGGCACATTTCAGAAGGTCTGGCTGTAGAGCTGCTGCTCGCGCTCAACTTGAATTTATCTATCTAACCTTGTAACACAGAACAGCTTGAGCTAGGCATTAAGCATCCCATTAACTTCCAATGTAAGTCCAGAAGCTTAAGGCCACCTTGCAGGCAAGAGATGGTTTCTAAATTGGATTTCTCAGTTCATTAAAGATGTAATAACTTCCTTAATACACATACCGGATTCAAAGAAACTACAGAAGAATGAAGGAGGTGTGGAAGAGCAAAGATTTTTTTAAAGCTTTTATTTTTATAAATATGAAGAGGTTTATTGACTAAAACTCTGGCTTCTTTAAATCCCAGCAACACCAAAACTTAAATTGATTTAAACCATCCACCCTATTATTATACTAAATTATTATGGAAGCAACTGAAAATCTCTATGTAGTTCTGATTCTGTATCCTATTCCTCTCCTCTTTTGTTCTTATTTCTCTTTATTATGCAATTTAGGTTAGGTATTTTATGTAGACCATTATAAAAATAATACATTGATGATTCAGTGATGAGATAAAATAGCAGCTTTCAAAATTTAATAGAATAACATTCCTTCCCCTTCATGGAACATTAACTTCTGCTGGTGAAGGGGCGTCTGTAGCTGTATACAAAAAGGTACCTCATGATGAGCAAGTCATAGATAAGTCATAGATAAAAGAACAGACCTAACACGACCCATTAGAGAAGGCAACCATTAAAGCATTCAGTCAAGGTTATACTANGTTTCTTTTAATGTTGTACGCCGCCCTGAGTCCTTGGGAGAAGGGCGGCATATAAATCTAATAAACCTAAACCAGTGTGAATAAGCTCATGGTATCTTTTTCAACACTGCATAGGTGAAAGAAATAATGGCTTAGTGGGATGTCAGGACTCAACATGGTGGCTTTCACTTTTCAAAAGAAACATTAATTACATGCAAAATCAAAATTATGGTTATGTTTTTACAAGAATAAAAAAATTAGTTCTAAATTAGGGTGCCCAAAAGCTGCCTATTAATAACGCTTGTGGATATGCTCAGAAGACAGCTTACTTTGTCAAGAGCTGCTTTTTCCAATTCTTCCTTTGCAATTGCTAGTTTTTGTTCCAAGTCTGTAAGCTGCTGAGCCTGTGGGAAATAAAAAAGAAAATTAGCTAGTATAAATTATGAACCAATTTTTCACACACTAAACTCATCTAACATATCTGGAAGAAGAATAAGGTAACTAAAATAGATCAAACACTGGGGAAAAAAATCTTGACAATGTAATAGTTTCTTTAGGGAATAGTGTAGAGGATCGTCATAAAACGGAAGAATTTAAAATCCCTTTCTGGGGACTATTTTATTATCAATTTCAATGGGCCAAACATATTCCATCTTGTTTTTAAATATTTAGAAATTTCATTGAAACAGATATGTGGCAATTCTTGCATAACTTTGGATAATTGGAATGCATTTTATTCATTAAAGGAGACTACAATTCACATACATGTGAAAAGACAAGTTTTCTTCATTCTTTTTTTTAACAAAATAAAAGAACTGAAATAACATATTGAAAAGTGTTTGCTTAACTTTTTCCATTTGTTGCATCATGAATCTTCCCATTTTATTCTTGTCCATGTATTGTAATTTTGCAGGAGAAAACCAATTAGGAGTCATAATTTGAAAAAAGGAAAAAATAAAGAATTACTGTTGCTTTTCTGTCTCGAATACCCCTTCTCAGATTGTAAGAGGTATGCTAATTATTTAATAACTTTTTCTTCACCCCATAAATTTTGGTCTTTGCTAGACAGTGATTTCATTTTTCATAATCAGCTGCTTTGAATACTTTGCAATATTTCCCATTATCCTCTGAGCATGAAACAATTGCTATTTCAGTTGGCCAGTCATTTTATAAAAGATTTATGTGGACACATTATGTTTCAAATGGGTTGTGGAAAATATGCCCTTTGGGGCAAAACTGACAGTACAACATTCTGTCCACTGATATCAATGCAACATTGCTCAGTATGGAATGAAATTGCACATGATTGAGCATGCAAAAAANATTCACAAAATTAATTTCATTTGAATGTATCTGAAACTGAAAGGTTGCACCTTCTTCATAATCTTTTCCAGGCCTCTTGATCTGAAATATAGTTTCTTTAATGCAGTTATTTAGGTATTGGGACCACATTCTTTCCCAATTGATCACTACTCTTAATCATGAAGCCAATCCCATCATGGCCAATTGAATTTGCCAGAAGTGATAAGAATCAGGTATGCTAGTTGTGGTTCTCATCACACAAATCCTCAAGAGCTCCACATCCTCAAGATTTATAAGCTGAAAAGAAACAAAGGGAATGGGACCAGTAGTTGCTAATGTATATCTCTATTACCTGCACAGCTATGGATTTTAACTAGAAACAGTACCAGCCAACTTTGTCTGCAAAATTGTTTACACAGAATAATGCTATTTGTTTCAGACTGTTCTTCTTTCCTTCTTAGAATGAATCAACCTTGGATGACTCTAGCACTATGGAAGTGAAATGCACCTTGAGATGGCCCCACTGCATAAGCAATCTGAAGTCAGTTGACATAGCTTGGTTGCTATGCTTGATCTTCACTAGAGGCTCTCTTATACAGGAGTTGCCAAAGCTAGATGAGAAACTTTGTGAAATACTATAATGAAGCCATATATGGCATTTATTTTTGCCCATTATCAGTGTGCAAATTTTATTTTGCAGTCCTGAAAGTTCGCACTCATTAATTCTTTTCTGTACTATATGCTTCAATGGATTCTGTTCGTGTTTGAAGCTGAACAGTTGTTGATAGTTATAGATCAAGTTTTTCTGCCCTGGGAACCAACTTAGCTTACAACTTAATTCTCTTAATTCTCACATCAACTATCCAGACTGTCTCTGTATCCAACAGCAAGCAACAGCAAGCAAACTCCCAGGCAAATTCTGGAAACAATATGGATCCAACAGATGCCCAGAACAGACCGTTTTATCCATTTTCCAGCTTTGCAAGGTTTATCTTACTGTCAGGCAAAAAATGACCAGGGAGTCTTTTGACTGGGACAAGGTCACAGTCCATGCATAGGGACAAGTTAGAAACTTGGAAAATTCACAGTTATAATGAATAATATAAAATCCTGCATTGTCTGTTTAGTCTGGACCTTAAACCCAGGACAAAGTACCAGGGTAATCCAATGCCACAATTGAGTTCACACAATCATTGTGGACTATTGACTGGAACATATGGTCAGCAAGATGGAATACAACAGATTATTCCTATGCCCTCCAATGGTAGCCTACTATACCACAGAGAAGTTTGTTAGTAAAAAGTTTTGGAGTAATGAATCTCTTTCTTTCTATTAGTCGGGTATCTGGCTGAATCCAGAGCAGTGCTTTCACTGAAGATTGTATCCTGACTAAAATGCTTTACTAACAATTGACTTTTGCTTTGTTTTTAAATAACTGGCTGCTTTGTTAGCTCTATGTTTTATATTGAACTGCAGTATAATGATTTCTTTACAAAAGTCCATTTATTCCACAATACTGCCTTTCTCCTTCTGCTCATTGTTCTTGATGTTATATTATTGCCTAAAAGCTATACATTTGCATGTAACAAAGATACAGTACAAACAAAATACTTTTGAAAGGAGACATTTCAAAGACAAGTATTTAAGTTTATACATTCATCCATAAATTGTTTTAGCATATGTTGTTTACTCACAGATATATTCTGTTCATATTCTCCATTCTTTTGCCATTACTTTTAATCACACTAATATGTTGATTAAAGTAAGTTTTTAATTTTCATGTCTTTGTAAGCAAACTCAATTATGAACCAATGCAAAATTTGGATAGTAATTCCAGTAAACACTTTGATCTGAAAGATATGATCAAATCAATTTACACTGGATTTTAGTTTCTTCAGTATTTCTCTTTTAAAAACAACCTTGATATGGACTGCTGTTCAAAAATGGGAAAGTAAAGAAAATCCCAGTGGACACACCTAAATCCTTCAACATAATATAATCAGGCTTTTGTGCATTTACAAACCATTTCTGTGTTTGGCTGTTTCCATTAACCCTTCAGAACCTGACATTCTAAGCATGAAGTTATATGAAGTAATACAGAACCATGACCTCAATTTGGGTTAATACTGTTGGATCATAACAATTTAATTAATTCCTTTTAACATGTTTTTTTGTCTCTAGGATCTGTAAGAAGATATGCTATTAAATTGTTGAATGTGTTTATTATGAAGATTTTGAAATCAATTTGTGAAGTTCATCGTTCTGTTGACACCTCAGAATCTCATCTGTGTTCTCATTTATGCAAATGAATAGCTATAAAAAAGTAAAGTGAGAAACTTGTGCAGTAGAATCAAAAATAGAAAGAAAGAAAATAAGAAAAAAGCTTCCTGTTTTTATTGAGGGAAAGTGTTTAAACAAACCAACAAACAAACAAACAAATACATCTGTTGATTTCAGAAGATGTTAGAAGTTGACTATTTAAGATACCTAAGTAAGATATGGGAAAAGATTAAAAATGATTCCTTGTTGGTCAAGGAAAAGCATTACATGATCAATTTCTACAAAAGATCTGTTCAAAAACGGAACAATTAAAAAAGTCACACTGATGGATTCATACCTACACTATGATGAAATTATGATGGGTTTTGGAGAAGTACTTGATGAATATGAAGGTCAACACCAGCTAAAGAACTGTCAGCTGTGATTTCCCATAGTTGTTAATAATAATTATTATCATCATCATCACCACAAGCTGAAATGAAATGTCTTAGGATAGCAAATATTAACTACTCATCCTAATGTTAACAGAAAGCCTTATTAAAACTTCAAGAAATAGTTTTCATTTATATTTTACTTTACATTATCCTCTTTGTGGTAATTTTTGAAGGTCAGGGTTACACACACACACACACACACACACACACACACAGAGACACACAAACACAGACAAATACTGGGCAACTTGGCTTATTATATTAGCTTTCCGCTGATTATTAGAAAATGTAAAGTTTGTGCTAAGAAACTTGCCGTAACTCTTCATGACTTTCAAGAACATCCTCATGTATAATATCTTGCAGTAGATATTATAATATCCGTGACTATGAGAATTGATTCATGTTCCAGAAAATAATATATTTGGTCTTCCTGGCCACAGGTACCCCCTGGCCTCCTCTTTTAAATGCAAGCAGAAGAACTTTTTAGTATAAAGGAATTTTTAATCCAAAAGTTGTACATGGATCTTTTAAGACTTTATTAAAGTACTCATCCTTAATAGCTTTATTAAGCTGAGTAGCTTTATTAAACGTATATTTTTGAAACAAAGATGATTAAAACCATAGGAAGATTTCCAGAAGTTAGAACATGACCTATATTAGAAATTAGAACATGAATTATATACTTTACTGCATCTTTTTTATAAAGCAACTAGATAATGAATGATTAATTTAAAATTTCCAGGCACTCAGTTAAAGCGATTCACTGAGTATCTTGTTAAATACGAAGGAAAATTTCCCATTCAATGACTCAGTACTGAAGGCAGTTCTTGTATTTAATCCGTTAGGGAAAGGAAATCTGAGGTACACATTGGTAGATTATCTTCTGGAATCATTTCCTACTATATGATCTAGAGTAAACAAAATTATATGGTATTCACGTTTAATAGATTTACTTGTCAGCTGCTTTAAGAAAGTAAATTTGGTATCAATATTGGCATTAGCTATCATTAGCTATCGAGCAATCATTGTTTACATAATTTTTCATTTGTGAAATATGTGTTATTCTTTTCAAATAGTAATGCTTTCTGTGAAAGAGCCTCCAGAATAATTACTAAAACAAACAACTAAAAAGAATTGAATCAAGGTGCTCTTTAGGAAAATCAAAGAATGACATGCTAATGCTGAACTGTATGCAAAATGCACAGATATTTGAAACAGTCTGTGATGACTTCAAAAAACTATTTTTAAACAATGCAGTTCTATTGAATGGCAACTAAATTAAACAAATCCACCCAACAAATTCACCCAGCAAAATGAGATTCATATAGAATCTTGCAGGGGGAAAAAAAGGAAGCCTTTAAAAGTTAAGGAGAACAAGTTCTGTTTTAGCCTTATTAGTCCTCACCCAATGTTTGATGTACTTATTTGTTTGGACTCAGGACATTCTGTTCTCACAGGCCAATCTCTGGTTCAGCCTCTGACAGATAGTCTAGTTCTGCGACATCTATCTCTGGAAATGGAGCCAGATGGTATGATTGGGGCAGGCAGGAGCAAAACATGTTGCATAGTGTACAACTCACAGTTCTTTGAAAGAAAAATGTGTTTGTTTTTAATCCTGACTTGTTGGCACATATATATTTGTCTTGTTAATATTTATTATAAACAGGAAAAAAAATAGACAGCAACTCTAATTTAACAAAACAAAAAGCAAAAACCTCAGGGGCGCTGTTTGATAGATAAATTGCTAGATTTGCTTTCAGAATTATTTTTTCTAAGTTTCAGTTTTGTTTATACATACAGAATAAATAAATGATATACATTCTATGTAAATTCAATCCATCAATCTATCTCAGAACAATATTCTGCTAAAA